GACCCTTAATCTATGAATCTATGAATCTATGAAAAACCTGTAACATGTAGAGGGAGCCTCAGCAAGAGCAGTTAATCAAGGGAACTGGATGGCTCAAGAAACTGAATCAGACAAAGTTTTCCATCACTAAGGAAATAATCAATCCAGCCTGGCTTGGTAGTAACCAGTATCATTACCATCTGAATGCTGTTTAGTAGGCCAAAAGATAAGAGTCCAGTGAAACCGGTTCCTAATGAACTAAGGTTAATGTGATAAAAAAATACCGTGGTCTTAGACACTAATGTTATGGCTTTACAGGAGATTTAACATGAGTGATCTATGCTTGTGTAGCCCAGGTGGTATGCGGTTGGTACCCCCTCTTCAACTGAAGGGATGTTAGCAGGTGTGAGCATGCTGTGGGAGTGTGACCACCTAGCATTAGACCAGCTAACCTCCCTCCCCTACAAAACAGAGCAGAGACCAGGTACACCCAAGGATATTTAACTATTTACAGGTTTGATTGTACAGTACAGTGTCCATAAACATATAGAAACATACACACACACACACACGCACACACATACTATTTACAAATATTAGTTCACAAAACAATGAATCTTGTTGAACGTAAACCCAGGCAATCTCAGCTGGGTATGGAAGACAAAAGCACTATATCTGCACAGGCTTTGACCCTCTTTGGCCTTCCTGCTGGTGTACAGCTCCTACCCTCAGCAGACTCTCCAGGCACTGGGCAAGGGAACAGTCGACAGTAACAACACAAATTAAACAATAGGTCAGTAGACAAAACCCAGCAAGGATAAATCACTAGTCTAAATGTACGTAAGTGAAATTACATTATTAGGATTCAGTACATAAAGATAATGAATACCATAAAAGCAAATATTGAATAAGGGGGTGCCCTTGCAGGGGCCCTCAAGCAACTAAACCCTTAGCAGGTTAAATGAGACAGCTCATAATTATTTCACAATACAACAATAGGTACACAAATTTACAGCAAAGGCCCCAACAATATAAAGAACAAAGACAACAACAATGCTCAACAGAAGGAGTGATACCAGGGGAAAAGAGCAGGTTACCATATCAACACTATCTCCCTCATGTAGGCCACATGCCTAGCCTGGCTCAGTGACAGCAAAACTGGGGTAGCCCTCCTCCCCTGTGGAAATCCTCATCTCCTCCTCGGGACTGCAAGCTCCTTTTTAGATCACTCACGGCTCCCAGCAGTCGGGAAAGCTTGGCTCGTCTCTCTCTCTGTGGGGGTAGCTGCGGAGGCTCCCCCTTCTCGCTGGGGTGGTCATTCTGTGCTGCGGCCACTTGCAACAAGAAGGCCTGAGCTGCCTAATGCAGCTACCTGGCCTGTCAGCCGTCTCTCCTGGCCCCATGCACCACCCTGTGCACCAAGGGGTCCCTGCCATTTGTAGGGATGGATCTCGTCAGCTCTCCAAGTCCCATGCACCTCCCTGTGCACCAAGGGATCCCTGCCATTTGTAGGGATGGATCTCGTCAGCTCTCCAAGTCCCATGCACCTCCCTGTGCACTGAGCGGAGTGCCTGCCTTTGCAGGGTTGGGGACCCATGCTGCCTTACGCAGCCACAGGGGTCCCTTCAGCTCTACCAGCCCTGTACACCTCCCTGTGCACTGAGGGCTTCTGCCTCATGCAGGGATGGGGACTTACACTTCCTCCTACAAACACAGCATCCCTTCAGCTCTGCCAGCCCTGCGCACTGCCCTGTGCACCGAGGGCTCCTGCCTTGTGCAGAGATGGGGACCCTCATTGCCTCATGCAGCCATGGGGTCCCTTCAGCTCTCAGGACTCTCTGCACACTGACCTGTGCACTGATGCCACGGCAGGGCTGGGACGCAGCTGCTTGCTGCATCCCACTTGGCAAAGGTGTCTTCAGGGTGCTTTTGGGGCAACTGCGTTGCCCTGCTAGTCAGCTCTACCAGCTCTTCTGCAGCCCTGTCTTCACTGTCCCTTGTCAAATGTGCTAGGCACACAGGCTTTTATCCCCTCCGGAGGCTCTGCCCTCAGACTGAAAACAAACCAACTAGAAAGCCTGAGAGCACCAACTGGAAAGCCCACACCCCACCCTGGCTTGGCAGTGCCTGTTGGATCCCCTTCACTTCAGCATCCCGGGCAGTTGCTCCACTCGCCCCCCACTTGCTATGGCACTGCATGTCCCAACCTCTATATCCCACCTTTTGCAAGTTCCTCATGTGCACACACAACACAGAAACTATAATGTAGTAAAATACATATTAAAAAAACCTTTAAGCTAATCAAGCTTGTTATCTTACGTGCTAAAAAGAGAAATATTATTTTAAATACTTGTGAGGTGCTTATGCTTTACAGTGATGGGGAATATATAAGCAAATAATATAGTTTCATAGTTTCTAGGGTCAGAAGGGACCT